ATTATTTTATTAAAAAAAAGCACGGTCTTTTTCAATTACAATTACAGCTGTTATTAATATATTTATGTAAATATAGGCTAAAGTTAGCTTTTGTGAATGAATTCGTTGTGGCATACCTTTGACTATTTTAATATTCTGCATTTATTTGAGAACCCGTACTTCGACGAAGAGCGAATCGTTACGTAAATAGTTGCGACTGGTGATGACCTTGTGTGGTATATGGAAGTACTGATTAGTCTGTATATAATCATCACTCTTCTTTCGCACGTAGATCGTCTTGACATAGTCCTGGGCCTCCAGCGCTACTCCACTTTGATCCCGTATAATGATCTCGGCCTGCAGGCGACATGGCCAATTCAGAAGTGGATCATATTCGCCAGATAGCACATTTAAGCATGCAATTAGATTGCGCCCTTTCCAAGTACCCTTGCCATTTAAATAGATATCCAGCTGCAATCGATATGTGTTTATCGATCTATACTTTATCTACACACATAAAACTTACACGCAAGGCGTATCCAAAAGCCTTGTTAGAGAACATGGCACTATGCAGTATGGTATCATACTGCTTGGCCTCCTCTAATTTCTTTGAATAGTCTTTAATGCGCCAAATCAGATGACCTGAAATTTGTAAAAAAAAACTTTTTCCATCTTTTCGATACTACCACTAACCAGAGTGCTCTCTGGTTAGTGATACTACTAAATAAACTATTTTTATACTCATTTACGAAAGTAATATGAGTATATTGGTTTTGTTTTAGTACACGAGTTTTATTACTAGCTCTTTAAAAAAAAAAAAGTCAAGCCTAGACTTTTGTTATATGTTCTTTGGGGTTACTATATCCAAATACAGTAGAATCCGGTTATAGCGACACTCAAGGGACCGTCGATTTTACGTCGTTTATATACCCGGAGGACGCTTTAACCAGAAAGAGTAAAAATTTTTTTTTTTAATTTTTTTTACGGTTTCCATGTTCGTAATAGCTTTTACCATAAAACAATTTAAATTTTTAATCATAACAACAATTTTTTATAAACTTATTTCAATAACATGGTTTAGAAACATTTTTGTGACGTCGGCATTGTACTTTGTCTCTCTCCCTTTGTCTCTCCCTCTCTATGTCTTAGCAGAATTTGTGGCGTTGCTACGCACACAAGCAAGGGTACTGATCACTGATCAATACATACATGTATACATTTCTAACAGAGGCATTTTATGCTGAAATTTGTTGCCAAAATTTCGCAATTTTTTTTATCACGTCGTAATAACCGTTGATTGACTCAACAATATGAAAAAAATCGTCGGCATAAGAGGATTGTCGTTAAAANGTAAGCAGAAAGACGCGAAAAATGATTGAAACAGCTATTGCTCGAAGGGTTCAGGGGATCTCGTAGTCGGGCACTCTCGACTAGAGCTTTCTTACTTGTTTTATGCTGAAATTTGTTGTCATTATTTCGCAATTTTTTTTATCAAGTCGTAATAACTCAAAAATATGAAAAAAAAAATCGTCGGCATAAGCGGATGGTCGTTAAAAGCGGAGACGTACTAAGCGGAGGCTCTTTCATATATGTAAGTTTGTATGGGAACCAACCAAGACATCGAATTTTCGTCGACATAACCGGTTGGACGCTTTAAGCGGAGTCGTTATAACCGGATTCTACTGTATATTTATTTTTATACCCTGAACCCATTGAGAATGGGAAATCTGACTATAATGTTTTTGGGAAAATGTATGTAACACCCAGAATATATATCTGTATATATATTCTTTATCAGGGCGACGAGCTGAGCCGTCCATTTTGAGAACCGTCTTCAAATTTTTGTAAGAAATACAACAACAAATATGTATATGGCTTTAAACAATTAAGTTCTTATAAATAGCCAACACTGCTGCCTATGCATGTTTAAGCGTGTGTGCGCGTATGCTATTTCTTTACTATATACATATATCTTCGGTATATATTGAATTCATCGGATTTGCTCATCTCTTATACGGGTTGTATCTGCGGAATTTTTTTATATTTTCGTTGCATATTCTAAATAATTTAAGATCAAGATCACTCACTTCTTATATTTTGTAGAGTGTATATTTGTAAAATGCTTATGGTACTGGTAATATCTCACCTCTTATATTCTGAACGCTTGCGATGCGCTGCTGCATGGCCATCTGGTTCTCGATGTCCGCAATGCTTTGCATTGTTTGATGAAGTGCCTTATCGAGATCTTGGATAATGCTTTGGAGCTTATCGCACCGCTCTTCAGTTTCACACATAATACTCTTCACATTTTTGACTTCATAGTCCAATGTGGCTTGCTTCGAGGTGGAAAGATCCGAGGAGCCCAACTTAGTTTTAATATCCTCATTGATTTCCTGTAGAAACTGCTCGATCCGCACAAACTTATCACTAAAAATTAAGGTACAATGCAAACGAAACTTGCAATGATGATTCGAACAAGTAATTCGAACTTACTGATTGATCCTCTCATTTTCAAAAACAATTTCCTCCAACTTCATAATATTATCATTCAGCTGGTTCTGATGGAAGCTCACATCCGAAGACAGTTGATTAATATACTGTTGTAAATCGTTCATTTTCGTTTCCAATTGTTCCTTCAGCGACTTAATAGAAATCGACTAACTATATTATACATATATCTTTTTTTTTTTAAATCGAGTGTACTGCATTACCTGGGTTATGCTGCAGCAATATTGAAAATCCACTTGATTTTGCTCTGTGGCTAATGTGCGCTGTGCCCTTTCCTCGTCGAGCTGCTGCCGTAGCTCGGCGATACAGTCGTCTGTCTCCCGGGTCCAGTTCTCGACCAAATGATTGTGTTTTCGTATGTTGCCCACGTCCGTGATGAGATGCAGACGTTGTCGTATTTCCTCATTGAGCACGGAACGTATAGTTGATATGTCCTGTTCCAGTACCTGGACACGGTGATCGGCAAATTGATCCAAGCACTCCATGCTGGCAGTGAGACGTTGCATTTTCTGCTGATGCTTGCCACGCTGACACTCTTTCAGATGGGATCGCATACGGATGCGTGGTATGAACACGTTACAGCTATTTGGACACTCCTCTAGCACTTGGCCGCAGTGTATGAGGTGTTCCTATAAAATTTTGAATACAATACAATTTGTCGAATCTATTACGCAGAACTGTAAACACACCGTAAAAGTCTGGGCGTCGAACCACTCGTTGCAGAAGAGACACGACGATTTCTCATATTTCACGATGGTCGTTGATTTGGGCTGCTGGATTAATCGATCGTCCGCAGCCTTATTAAGTGACATCATTCGTAAGATTTCCCCCACGCGCTTTGTCCACAAAACAAACCTAATTTGCCGTTACGTGAACCGTCTCTAAACATACTAAATTCAGAAAAAAAAAAACAAAAAAATAGCTATATGTACACGCTCATATACATACATTCATATATAGATGATTAAGAATTGCCTTCGACATAGTCACACACATATGTATATGTACAAGATATGCGTTGATATATGTATGTGTGCCATTCACGCCATACTGTGCTGAGGGAGGTCCCAGATAAAGCTGCACCAACTGCCTGGAGACTACATACATACATATAAAAAAAAACTTGCTTCAATGAACGCCACTAGCCCGACAGTTACCATTTACTCTGCCATTTGTTTCTGTCTCGTTTGAGCAAGGAATAGGTTGAAAGCGTTCACATGTTTCGACAATATAAAAGCCAACACACATACATACACATAGATATCATTATCAATGGAAATAACCGTACAATCAAATATTTTGGCATTGCAACAGTAAGCACAATATCACAACAGAGCCAACAGAACAAAGATAACGCGAAAAGTGCGACTGGGTAAATGCGAATCACAGTTGGCCTGCACAAATATTGCCTAGTAGTCAGGGTGTATTCATGGTAGACTAGAGGAAGAGGAGACTAGACTATTCATAGTAGACTACTGGCTTCCGAACACGATATAAAGATTCATATGTATATCGTATTAAATCAGTGCAAAATATTTGTGTACATTCGAATTACAAAGAGCAAAATGAAAACATTGCCTACTATTCATTTTTTTGTCGCTCATAATTATCATTAATTTTGCTCAAATTCTACTTTGATTTGGCTCTTCAATTATAATATATTTCGATATAAATTAAGCTAAATATTTTTGAGAGGTTATAAATTGTATTATATGATTATCGATATGATCAACTCTACTCGAAATTTCTCTGAACTTTCGAAAATAAGCTTAGATAGTAAATGTTCAGCTCACAATTTATTGGTCGTGCCAGTTCTTTTTATTAAGAATAATCGAAAAATCGACTTTGTTTTTCAGCCTAATTTGAACACTTTTAGACCTGGAGACTTCAGATTTACTGTGTATATATATTTGATAAATACGAATATTTTGTAATTTACAGATTTTTGGTACCACGTATTTCAAGTACTAGAGACTTGTGCTTCGGAATGTACACACATTTTAACCAACTTTAGGGCGTGATCGCCCTAAAAGTTTCATAAAGATAGTCCATCTACAAAAGAAACTATTCAACAATTAAATTCTCATAATATTGCCCACACCGCAGTGCACCCCAAGCGCAGGTAGCAGAGCGCGTGCTTATGCGTATGTGTGGATGCATGTGTATGTACATATGTATGCAGAATGATTAGAATATCAGCTTGGAGGGTTTAGAGTATCTCCTAGTTGAGCAGTCTCGACTAGAGCTTTCTTATTTGTTTATAATTTAAGTTGGTCTGTTCGATCAATTGCTGCATACCACATAAGCTGATTGTCGCAATCTTTTAAATGGTGGGCCCTTAAGCTGAAAGCACGAATTGCAGGGTATACTTATCGTATCTATGTATGTGCTAAATAAACAAATACATATATGAGTGTATAAGCAATTCATGTATCTATATTTCTAATTTCCAGTACCGCCCCATGGTTGGCTTGAAATGTGATTCTGTTTATCTTCCGTGCGCTGTTCCAGGGCACTTTTTATCATCGTTGTGTTTGATCATCAGTTAACTTCGTAGTTCGACCTCGTAGTTCGAGTTTTGGAACAAAAAAAAAATATTTATATATACTTTATATGTATACCCGACAAACGTTGCTTTGCCCTATCATTTCTAGGGAATATTTTGTACTTAAATACAAAATAACTAATTTACTATAAGTGTGTGGGGATACCGTTATAGTCGAAAGCGTTGTAAACAACCGAAGTATGCTTTATTATACCCTGAACCCATTGAAAATGGGAAATTAGAGTATAATGGTTTTGTTAAATGTATGTAACAGGCAGAAGGAGGCGTGGCAGACCCCA